TGTTCCCCGCACCCCAAGTCTGTTGAGTGTATTCCACTCTAAAAGGACCTGGCTGCAGGGGCCTCTCCTTCAGATCTTTTTACCAGATTTCAGTCTGTCCGGGAGAATCTCCTTTATGATGTGTCTATTAAGGCTTGTCTTGAATTAAACCTGTTGAGCCAGGCTTGTTGCAGAAGTGACCCCGCAAACCTCTAGAGGTGCACTGTGTCCTCAGTAATGTGAAAGCTGACCAAACAGAGAGGAGGGATCGGTTTGGTCTTATTCTCCAGAGTTGCCAGAGAGAAGCATCAAGGACTCCACCTCCCTAGCAGAATGAAGCTGCAAAATGAATTTATTCATTCTGAAATGAGTGCATTCTTTTTGATCTATCTTAGATGTATTAGCCCCATTTCCTAGACACACTGAACAAACCGAGAACAGAAAACTGAGATCAAATCCCACCACTTCCCATTGACCAGTGCTGAAGTAGGAGCATTGCTTGAAGCCAGGAGTTTGAGATCAGACCTGGCAACAAAGTGAGACCCTATCTCTACAAAAAAATGTTTTAAAAAATTATCTGGGCATGGCGACGTGAATCCGTAGTCCCAGGTACTTGGGAGGCTGACGTGGGAGGATCGCTTGATCGCCCAGGAGTTGGAGGCTGCAGTGAACTATGATCACACCATTGCGCTTTGCCTGGGTGGCAAAATGAGACCTCATCTCTAAAAAAAATTAAAATAAAATAAAATTATAAAGTAATAGTAAAAAAGAGAAGGGGAACTCACACAGAGAGCAATTAATATCCAGAGAGTATGCACAGATCCTGGGGGTGCTATACGAGGCAGTTCGGTTAGACTTGCTTTAACTTTGTAGGCAGCCCAGCCTCTGCTCAGTCCTTGAAAGGGAGCTGCACACTCACCACGCTCAGTAAGCTGAGCAAGAGCAGGCCATGAGGCCACCAAGTCCCCCAAGGAGAAAGCATGGGCCTTGGGGCAGCTGGGCATGTGCTGGAGACAGCTGGCCCCATGTCCCTGAGCTGGCTCAAGGCCAGTGCCTCTTCAATGCTGGAGACTGTGAACTCAAGACTCATGCGTCACCCGGCCCTTGGGGGTGGACCAGGGATCATGACCCTGGCAAGCTCACAGAGTGTCTGAGATTGAAGCTACCATGCGTGGTGGCTGCTACATGTACCTGCAATAACTAACAGGGACCAAAGCCAAAAGCATCCTGTGTATGGGCTGAGGGTGGCTGGAAGTCTGAGGCTTCCACATTTGGAAGTCTGAACTTGGCCTTTTCAGAAACAAAACCAATCAAATAAAGCAACCCCTTGCCATCACCTGAGGACTCTTCACAAGCTTTCTGGTAGGTTCCAGGAGTTTCTGATCCCCCAGGCTGAGGCATTACTCAGTGGTTATTACCTCAGGCAGAGCAAAACTAAATGCAGACCCTGAGGTCCTTTAGGGGATTTAGAACCTCAGCCAAAGTTCCTGAGAGTGGCTCTCAGCCTTAGAAAGTGGGAGACATGCCTGGAGAACTTGTTAAAAGTTCAGATTCTACACACCTGACAGAATGGTGAAAATTCAGAACACTGGCAACACCCAATGCTGGTGAACATGTGGAGAAACAAGAATACATTCATTGCTGGTGGGAATGCACAGTGGTGCAGCCACTTTGGAAGACAGTTTGGTGGTTTCTTACAAAACTAAACATATTCTTCCCATATGATGCAGCAATCATGCTCCTTGGTATTTACCCAAATGAGCTAAAAACTTATGACCATACAAAAGGCTTCACACAGGTGTTATAGCAGCTTTATTCATAATTGCCAAACCTTGGAAGCAGCAAAGACCTATAGGTGAATGAATAAATAAATTGTGATACATCCGAACAATGGAATGCTATTCAACACCAAAATGAAGTGAGCTAACAAACCATAAAAAGATATGAAGAACACTTAAACAAATATGACTAATATGACTAAGTGAAAGAAGCCAATTTGAAACATTTACATATTATGCGATTCTAACTACATGACATTCTGGAAAAGGCAAAACCGTAGAGACAGTACAAAGATCAGCGGTCCCTAGGGGTTGGGGAGGGAAGGATGAGCAGGCGGAGCATAGAGGATGTTTAGGGCAGTGCAGCTCCTTTCTGTGATATTTTAGTGATGGATTCATGTCAGTACACATCTGTCAAGACCCATAGAATGTCCAACATCAAGAGTGACCCTTATGTAAACTCTGGACTTTGGGTGATAATGATGTGTCAATGTAGGTTCAGGGGTTGTAACAAACGTACCACTCAGTGGAGGGGGTGTTGATAGTTGGGGAGGTGGTATGTATGTGTGGCATATGGGAACTCTCTGCTCAGTTTTGCTGTGGGCCTAAAACTGCTTGCAATGGTTAATTTTATGTGTCAACTTGACTGGGTGATGAGGTGCCCAGACATTTGGTCAGACAGTATTCTGGGTGTGTCTATGAAGGTGTTTCTGAATGAGATTGACATTTAAATTGGTGGAGCGAGTGAAGCAGATTGCCCTCCCTAATGCGGGTGGGCCCATGCAATCAACCGAAGGCCTGAATAGAACAAAAAGACTGACCCTACTGCAAGTAAGAGGGATTCTTCCTGCCTGACTGCCTTGAGCTGGGACATCAGCTTTTTCCTGCCTTCAGGCTTGAATTGAAACACTGGCTCCTCTTAGGTCTTGAAGCTACAGCTTTCAGACTGGAGCTTAGACAGACCATCAGCTCTGCAGGTTCTCAGGCCTCTGGACTTGGACTAGAACTACACTACTGGCTGTCTTGAGTCTGCAGATCTTCTGAGCCTTCATAATCGTGTCAGTCAATTATTCTATCTATCTATCATCTATCTATCTTTCTCTCTGTCATCTATCTACCATCTGTCTATTATCTATGTCTGTATCTATTACCTATCTATCATCTATGTCTGTATTATCTATCCATCTATCTATGATCTATCTACTTATCATCTATTATCTATCATCTATCTATATTCTGTCTATCTCTCTATCTCCTATTGGCTCTGTTTCTCTGGTGAACCTTGACTAAAAACATTGCTCTAAAAAAAATCATGTTTTTTTTTTTAAGTTTATACGACTGGGATCTTCTCACCACCCACAAAAAATTTCAGTTCAGCAGTGCTGAAGCTGGGCCTGGAAATGTGCATTTTGTTGACTTTCCTCTGTTTTCTGATGCCAGTGACATGTGGGTCACCCTTAGAGAAGCAAAACCTCAGAGTTTCTCCCCGTAGCTGGCAGAGGCAGAAAGAGCTACAATGTGAGGTCCCCCTCCCATGGGCCTCGCACTTTCCCCCACCCCACCCCAGCCACTGAGATGGGCTGTGTACCCTGGCCTGGGGGGCAATGCAAGAGATTTTGGCTTCTCATGCTCCTAGCTATGGCCTTCCTCTCTTTTGCATCAGATAGATTGTGTTTGGAGTGTTTCACTACCTGGCGAGAGGCTTCCTCCTGGTGGAGGCTGGATGATTGCGATGACCTCCTCCTCCCCGGCTGCTCTCGGGACCACAGGCTTTTCCCCTCCGCTGCGCTTGTTTATACAACTGACCACACAGTCTTCCTCTCACCATTTCGTTACATCACCTCCTTCCTTAAGAACCCTCCCTGCCCCCTACTGCCTGTAAGGTCAAACCTGAATGCTGACCCCTGTGCGAGTCCCTTGCCTGTCCGCACGTGTCCCTCCTTCCAGCGCTCACGTGCCCCGGACCCCCACCGCTGTTTTCCGACACTCCTTGACCCTCGGGGCCCTCAGCACTCAGCTTCAACTTGCCTCTTTCCAGAGCTTCTCTGTCTGGTTCCCAGGTCTCCTCCAGCTTGGTCAGTGCCAGAGCATATTTCAGGATCACTACCAAGGAGTCCTTCTACTTGAATTTGTTCTAGAGTGTGCTCCTACCTGCTCTGCCCTGCCTCGGTGAAGGGGCCGGTGCTTATGCAAAGCAGGAAAGCAGAAAGACCAAGAGCACTGGACTCGGCAGACCTGGGTGCAAGGACACACGCAGCGCTTTAGGAGCTGTCAGACCAAGGACAAATTCCTCAGCTTCTCTGAGCTTTTGTTTCTTTACCATATACACAGGAATAATGATGCCTGTTTCCCAGGACTGTTGGGAAGAGCAAAGTACAGTGGTGCTGGAGGTGAACGTGTGGAAATTATAAGCCACTTCCCAGGGGACAGCAGCTGTCCTGCTCAGCTGCCCAAAGCTGGCTTCAACACTACTGGACGGGCTTGGCTGGTGTATGGGTGGCCAGAGAAGGGACAGAACAGACATGAGGGCCAGAGAAGGGACCACTGTTGTCCTGATGCACAGCCTGAAGGAGGACCTAGAAAACAGCACTCAAATAATGAAGTCAGTAGCGAGGGGAAGAGGTTGGCTTGGAGAGGTGCAGAAGCAGGGTCTGCAGAGCTGAACAGGGACAGAGGCCAGGGACAAGAAAGCAGACAAGGGGAAGAAGGAGGGATGAGGACAGAGAAGGCCACTCCGTGTGGCCTAGGGAAGAGCTTCTGGGACACTCTTAACCCACAGCCGATTCTGTAGCTTAAAACATCACCAGTACAGCCCAAGAATGTGTCCCGAGGTCAGGAGCCCTGGAGACTCCAGAGGCTGACAGCTCCTCTGTTCTGTCTGGGGGTGGTGTGTTCTTGCAGGATTTGAGGAGACTGAATTGTGTAATAATGTGGAGCTTTGGCTTTGAAATGCTTTCTGTGCCCTGGACAATGACATCTCAAATGTTACTGAAGTTCTTGAAGCCTCTGTTCCTCCTCTGTATGGCAAGAATCCTAGTGACCACTTCACAAGGGGGTGATAAGATTTCAGGGATACAGCACAGAAAGTGCTGAGGACAGGGCTGGCCACATAGGAGGTGATGTTTTTTATTTATTTTATTTTTATTTATTTATTTATTTGAGACGGAGTTTCACTTTTGTTGCCCAGTCTGGAGTACAATGGCACAATCTTGGCTCGCTGCAACCTCTGCCTCCCACATTCAAGGGATTCTCCTGCCTCAGCCTCCCAAGTAGCTGGGATTACAGGCATGTACCACCACGCCCAGCTAATTTTTTGTATTTTTGGTAGAGATGGGGTTTCTCCATGTTAGTCACGCTGGTCTCGGCCTCCCACTTAGCACCTGTTTTGGGAATAACATCACACAGCACATGTGGGCTTTTCTTTCAAAGGCTGTCACTTGGGGAGCAATCTGTGTGTCCTCCTACTACATAGTTTGATGTCTTGTTAAAGGAGAAAGATTTCAAAATTAGCATCAACATTTGGGGAGAAATCAAATCTCTTCCATATGCTACTTCACTTGGGTGGCACCAAGAAAAAGGCAGAGCTGAGCCCCAGAATGTGTCGTCATAGCCCCCGCCCCACGGCCCAAGCAGGTGTTTTCTCAGACACGCCGCCTCCACGGTGGCCTAATTTCAGCTTCCACGGCTCCTCCCAGCTCTTCATCCCCACTCTCTTTCTTCCCCCAGCGTCTGGCTCAGTTCCCCTTCTGCTCTTGCTTCCGTTGCTGATGCACCGTTGCTGAAGTGGTGGCATTGTAACTTGAGGGCCAGCCATTCAAGAGCCCCCTCCTCACTCCTGTGCTCTCTCTCCCTCATGCTGATTCTTATGCGGGGAAGGACCAGGAATTGGCCAGCTTGTCTCTGATCTGGCCATACCCTATTCTCCAGGGAGCCTTGCCAGGCCCTGCCTCCCCTAAACATAAAAATGAATGACACTGACCTCAATGTCAAGGCTTATATAGAACTCTTAGAGAGCAAAGATTCCCAGATCAAGGTAGGCACCACTCTTTTACGGACCACTCTTGGCAGTGAAGGATTCTGTTTCCTGACTCATTCATTGGAATCTTTGCAACCCGTCCATCTGCGTATCCTATAGACAGGTCTCTGGGCGTTTCATGGTGCCCTGTTGGCCAGAAAAAAACCTTAACCTTGATCTTTTTTTTGTTTTAACTGAATAATCTCCTGGGTCTCATCCAAGTAAATATTTTTCTTGTTCACAAAAGTTCCTGTGGTGAGCAGTGAATTCTCATACAAAAAATATTAAGCAAGAATTTCTTGCCTTCTAGGAAATCACCATTTTATCCAGGTTGATCTATCTTGGAAAATTACCAACTAGTCTTAACCATAAAACAAACCATGAAAATGCCTCCCTTTTGGCCTTTTGTGCTGCCAGAGCAGATACACTTCACTGTCCAGGGTCTAAGCACTGAGTACTGGCCTGGGGCCCCCCCTGCCTTTTTTTTTTTTTTTTTTTTTTTTTTTTTTTTTCGTACCTTGAGACCAAGGAACACAAAACGAATTTGAAATTAATAAAAATGATTTCATATATTATAATTTATCATATTAATAGGATGAAGTCAAAAATATGTTCTTTTTTACTATATACAGAAAGAAAGACAGTATTCAATATCGATGAGTTCTAAATCATTGGTAGCAAACTTGAAATAGGACAGAGCTTCTTTTTTGGGGCCCTTTGTCTTTGGCTTAGATTAATTCATTGAATCAAATAGCTGACACCTTGGAGACTGTGGAAGTCTGAGGGCAAGGGAATGTCAGTGGAGAGGGAAGATGGACAAAATAGGAGGGGCAGAGGCATGGGGGGTGTAAATGCCACGCTTCCCTTTGGGCTCTCAGGGGTCTCATTGGCATGAAGAAAATCAGATATTTCATTCCACAGTATATTTCTCTGACACATTTTGAGACGGCTGTTCACAGACAGGAGCAGCCCTGCAAGGCCGCTCTTCGTGGGGGAGACTTGCATCTGCAGAGAATCTGATTGACGCAGCCGTCTCGAAGGCCCCCCCTTGTCTGGATCTAGGAAAGATTAACTGGGATTTTGTTTTAAAGAACTGACACCTTTAAAGATCTGAAAGAAACATTCACCACGTTTGCTCTCTGAGGGCTGCTACCTGTGGGTTTCACGTATGTAACACGGCGACCTTTGTTCGCCAGGCCTCCTCTTCTCCCCCTTCCATAACCTGTCATGCCTCCGTAACCTGATGCATCATCATTACTTGTTTTTGGTCATATTCTGAGTCCTATTCTTTCTGTAACCTCAAGATGTACCTCACTGGACCGCTGGGGAATCCCTTTGTGGCTTTCTCCTATGGGCATGCTAGTAACTTTGCATGCCTTCTCTCTAACTGATCTGCCTCTTGTCAGTTGATTTTTCAGCATTTTCAGAGAGTGAAGGGGAATTTTTCCCTTGACCCCTACAAGGTTAAGGTGGCACCGAGACGCTGGCCAGTGAGGCAGCTCTCTTGGCCTCCTGCTTCTTCCCAGCTATCCCGACCTGCATGGTCCCACTCCTAGCTCCTGTTCCCAAACTAGTGGGACTGGGAGAGTGTGGGAGCAGCCTCAAGCCTGTTCGTCTCTCCTGTCCCGCATATGGGCGAGGGCTCCAGGACAGCCAGGCAGGATAGGCTTTGATATCTCTCTCACAGAACAGTCCAGAGTGGGGGGGTACCCGGCAGGCTGGCTGGATGCATGAGGCCATCCATATACTTAAAATATTTTTTCCAGATGAGGTTCTGCTATGCTGCCCAGGCTAGTCTTGAATTCCTGTTCTCAAGTGACCCTCCTGCCTCAGCTCCCCGTGTAGCTGGGATTGCAGGTGCCTGCCACTGCTGCAGCTTCTGTGTTTTGAACAAGCTCTCTTGGTGATGCAGATGCTGCCTATGGGAACTGTGATGGTTAATTTTATAAGTCAACTTGTCTGGGCCATGGTACCCAGATAGTTTGTCAACTATTATTATTATAATACAGCACTTAAAAATTTTATTTTTAATTTAATTTTTTTTGAGACAGGTCTTTGCTATGCTGCCTAGGCTGGAGTGCAGTGGTGTAATAATGGCTCACTGCAGCCTGGACCTCTCAGGCTCCAGGGATCCTCCCACATCAGCTCCCAAGTAGGTGGGACCACAGGCACGTGTATCACCACGCCCGGCTAATTTTTGTATTTTTGGTGAAGACGAGGTTTCACTATGTTGCTCATGCTGACCTCTACCTCCTGGGCTCAAGTTATCTTTCCACCCCGCCTCCCAACATGCTGGGATTACAGACATGAGCCGCCATGCCTGGACAGGTCAAATAAACATTTTTCTGTGAAGGTGTTTTAGATGAGATTAACATTTAAATCAGTAGACTTTAAGTACAGCAGATTATCCTGCATAACATAGGTGGGCCTCATGCAAACAGTTGAACATCTTATGAGAAAAAGACTGAAATTTCCCAAGGAAGATGGAATCCCTCCAGCAAACGGTCTTCAGTTTTGAACTGAAACTCTTCCCGGGGCCTCCAGCCTGTCTGCCTGCCCTACAGATTTTAGATTACCCCAGCATCTATCATCATGTAAATCCCTCTCTCTCTTTATGTGCACACACACATACACACAAACATACACATATACACATACACAAACACACAGAACACAGACACACACACATACACACACATACAAAGTTTSTCTTCCTCTCTATGCACACACACGCACACACATACACATACACATGATCGCACACATATATACACATACACAGAAACACAGACACACACACATGTACACATATACAGAAATACACAGACACACACATACACAGAAACATACAGACATACACACATACACATACACAGAAACACACATACACATGCATACACATATACACACAAACACACACATATAAACATACACAGGAACACACACACATACACACACACAGAAACACACACATGCAGACACACACACACACACACACACACACACACACATCCTGTGCATTCTGTTTATTTGGGTTCAAACTCCAGCTCTTCCACTTACAGTGAAATTTTAGACAGGCTATCTCAAATCTTTGCTTCTGTCTCTATAAAGTGGAGATTATACGTTTAGTCCAGTGCCTGGTGCTCAGGAAACTATTAATAAATTAGAACACTAACCTTCATCAGACCATGATTATCACAGTAGCGCTGGGAAAAACTGTAAGTAATTTTGCCCTTCCTGTTCTTCAAGAAATCTTGTCTCTATCCCTCATTCTAAGCAATGAAACCTCACCTTTTCTTGAAAATCTAAAGGAAATGAGATAGTAGAGGTCTTTGCCAGAAATCCAGCATCCCAAAGCTAACTGCCTACAGCTGTGTTTTTAGTCCAGCATCCTCTGCCGAGCACAGCAGCCCCACCCAGCACATGGGGCCCCAGTTCCACCTCTCCCCTCGCTGCCGGGCAGCAGGGAGGAAGCAGCAGAGAGTGTTTCCCAGTCATGACATGCTTGTTGTCAGCTCTTTCCCGGACACAGCCAGCTTTTCCTTCTTGTTTTACTTGGCATCAATCTGTGTATTATCTGTGCAGTTCTCTGGAAAGGAACAGAAAACCAACTTCCTACGTGAATAGCCAAGAGCACTGACCTCCCCTCTGCTCTTGTTATCTTCATGACTAACTCAGAATTCCTGGCTCCTCCTGCCCCTCGTTAGTGCATAGAAGTTAGTGCATAGAAGCCTCAGCTGGTATTGGGATGCTCTGCAGGACCAGGGGTGGTTCCAGGGTTTTTACATAAAAGGTGCTTGAAGGCAGGAGTTTTGTTGGAAGAGAAATTGTCCTATAATTCTATTTGCAGAGCAAACACACTGGTTTTATTTTAGATGATATATTATAGAGCATGAGGGTGACAAACTGGCCAGTGGGACAAATCTGGCCTGCCACCTGTTTTTGTGAATGAAGTCTTTTTGGAACGCCTCCACGCCCATACTATCTCCTACGATGTCTTTCGCATTGTAGCGGCAGAGCGAAGTGGTTGAAACAGAGGCTGTATGTGTGATCTGCAAAGGTCTAAAATACTTACAGTCTGGCCCTTTATGGGAAAAGTTTGCAAATCCTGTAACACGGCAATGAAACAGCACATTTTTTTAAAAAATGCTTCATTTATAACAATGTGCATAAAAATGAGAAAGCATCCTTCGCCCATTTCAAACCATATTTTGTGGATGTCTTAGTGGGTGGGATAGTGAGGACCCTGGCTGGGGAGGGGAGTGTAAATTTTCCTAAGGAATCCGTTTGTGCTGTGACCACAGAGACACTCCTTCCTGGGCCCAGGTCCTCTGAATCTCACGGAATGCCAGCCTGG